TGTCTTCATAAATTTCTGCTATGTATTGCAACATTCTAACTATTGATGCCTTGAACCCACCAGAGCTCTTATTCTTCCTCTATTTCTTTCTTGGTTTTGCTGACCTTTTTGCTAAAACATTTATTTGTGCACCATAAGCACTTCCCATGCCAACGTATTGAAGAAAATTCTCCAAATGCTTCTCTAAGCGTTGTGGACCATCATTAACTATAAGGTCATCTAACATCTCCTTGAAATGGAGCGTAATAGACAATAAGAAAAATTACTTTGTGTGCTTTACAACAAGTTTAAAATGTTAGTTTTTGACCAGCAAAAATCTGCCCATTTTAACTGAAATAAATCTGTGACGATTTTAGCTAAAGCTGCAGAGGAACACGATTGCTGTCTATTAACGTATCGTGGAGGCAATCGCTGTTTAAACCAAAGGAAGACTGCTGGCAGAAAAAAACGAGTGGACACACATAGGCCAAGACTAAAGCTAGGCTCAAAGTTAAAAGAGGGTTCTTGCCACCAGAACGCTGATTGCTCTGATTAAATTAGAAGTGTTGGAAGGAAATGTGGAAGAAAATGGACTGCAACTACACAACTGTGTAGCTGGAGCTTGATCAGTTTATGAGAGCGAGTTCCCTTCCATACCATGTTCAGCTGCAAAATATATATGTAATCAGCCCAGCTGGTATTTGAGACTCCGCATCGCACAATCAGCAAACTGCTGTAGTCACTCAAAGTCCTTAATGACTCAATTCTAATCTAAAATCTTTACTCCAAAACAATGGGCATGTTAAACAGTGACTCTGTGCATATTTTTAGATGAATACTATGTGCGAAGCCTCAAGTAGTGTTAAACATCAGTTTCTTCTGCCGTTTATCCCTTACAGCAAAATCCACCTGCCAGACATGCAGGTTAGGAAGCAGGACGACTCTGAAACAGCTCTTCTGCCCGGGAAGGCTGTGCCCGAGGCCAAGACCAAAGGTGGTGCCAGCAGATCGTGCATTTTAACCAGAGTTTTCCAGATGACTCAGGAGTTGGCCTTGACAGTCACCTACGCAGAATATCAAATTTCGTATCTATAAAAGCTGTCATGCTAGTATTGCACATAATACTATAAGAATGGTATTTCCCAGGCTCGATTAATGTTTTACAGTGATTTATTTGAAGATGTAAGCTTTAGCCCAGCTGACTCAATAGATTCCTGTGGTGCATTAAAACAAACATATGCCGAGCGTCACTAAGAAACAAGCCTTCCTTTCCTTCTACATGATTTTTTCCCTTGAAAAGAAATGCCTTTCTTTGTTTATGTCTTTATGAATCCTTGTAAATCCACACTGTTAATTCATTCATTGGTGCCACCTTTTTCCTACCCGATGCAACTGTGCTACGCTCGAACGGCAACGTTTGCCCTTAGGAGGTAGGAACTCGCTCCAATCTGGGTATAACTGAACAGCCATGAAGGCTTAAAATAGCAATTCCCAAAGTCTTGTAACGTTATTAGCAGGATGAGCTGGCTCTGTGGTAGGGCTGGGGCAGTGGGACCGGCAGGGCTGGGCAGCGCTGGCCTGGCGAGAGCTGGGAGAGAGGGAGCCGAGCCCGCGGCCGGCTCCCAGCTTAACCCCCACCCGAATCCCGGTGCTTACGGCAGAGCAAAGTACAGACCAGCACCTTCGGGCATTTGCCTAGGTATTTCCATCCGGGCTGAAGGACTGCGAAGTGGGAGCAAACGCCAGACAAAGCTTTCTCCCTCTCTTTTCTCCCCAGTGCGACTTCTGTCCTGGGTTACACGGACGCAAATCTGGAGCGACGGTTCTGAACTGAAATGAATGTCTGAATTCCCCCCATTCCTGAAATGAATTTGGGGGGCTCTCAACTAGCATAGCACTTGGATACAGCAAAACAAGCAGATCTATACTGTTGTTATATTGTGTCAGTGCTTTCCTCTGTATTTTGTGCTCCAGAATTGTCTTTTCTTTGCTGATTTTTCAGCTACATCCGTGGGCCGTACCCTCACAAAGAAACGCTTTGCAGGGAAGTGTAGAATTAAGTGCAGTGCTGGCTGCCTAACACAGACAGAGGGATCAGTCCTATGAGTGGCAGGAACACCTTCTTAAAAATATGCTGACTCTAAATAACGATAGCTTCATGTCAGTATTATTTACTCCTTCAGATAGCATCCTCTTCCTGCAAGCAGCTCTCTTCCGCGCAGCACGGTGGAAGGGCAGGGGGATCGTCGCTCCCGCTTACAGCGTCCTTTGGGATTGCTTCAGGGTGCAAGAAGTAGCCACGAGGGCATGACTTAACAGATTGGTGGCTGACAATACTAACGATCACATCTTGAATTACAGGCTAAAGCGCTGAAAACCCTTTGCCTGTTAAACGTGGTATTATGGGGAGGGGGCAACCGTAGCGGCACCACATACCCGTGTGTGGTGTCCCACACTACAACCACCGCTGTCAAACCTGGGCCCTCTGCTGTCAGGATGAGTTCTGCCCCACTCAAGAGCTCGGAAGTTCATGCGTAGAAACCTGAGGGACATGTTTCTAAGGCTTTCCAGAAGCAAACAGTAAATTAGTGAGAAAAAGCGGGGAGCTCAGCTGGACGTAGAATTGGTTTCCGATTGTATTTATGTAGCCTTAAGAAAAGTGACGGCCTCTAGAAGTAATGCTGGTGCGAATCAGGCATTTTCATTCTGCAGAACGGATCTCCAGATGGAAAGGCCCTCGAACGACTTGCCAGGGTCCCGATGCATATTACATGTAGCGCAAGCTGTTGGCAAATAACGCTTTTGCACAAACAAATTGCACAGCGTACCTCATGGTCCCCTGTGCGGGCAGGAGCGGGGCACGCGCGGGCGAGCAGCAGCCCAGCACCCTGCTGGGCGCTACGCCGCCATGCTCGTTGCACCCAGCGCTTGCCGAGGACCCCTTGAACCGCGCTCCTTGCGTCAACACCGTGCGTGTGCAACCCTCAGGCAAAGAGGGCCACTGCGCAGGCAGCGTTTGCGTGGCGGAGCGGTGTGTGCAGAACGGACTTTCGCTCTGTCGGAGGATGCTGTTATTGCGCTCACCTAAACTCATCGCCGATTCCGGGCAGCTGCTGTTGTTTAGTCTGGCGTTCCAAAGGACAAAGGCCAATCTGATACTCGCAGACCTTCCTATCACCAAGTGGGACTGCAAATGAGGGTGTAGCATATCAATTAGAAGGAGTAAAGACACTAAGTCTGTTTAATTTTCAAGTATATTTTGCAAAAATGTCTTTTGTGCCCGATTCCATCAAGGGAAAAGCACGTGTACCCTGTGATAATAGAAGAATGTGAATGCAGCTCGTGCAAATGCATCTGTTTTCTAACTTTGCCTTTTTCTGTTTCGTTTTCCTTTTCCTGACCGATTTGAAGACTCTTAAATAAACTCTCCCACTGGAAAATATTAATTTTTATATGCGTCTATTTCCACCTTAATTGAAAGGTTTAGACAAGCATATCTTCGAGGCTGGCATATGTCTGCTTGCTTTACAATCCTTTCATAGTATATGGTAGCATACCTATTGACAAGTGAGCTTTGTGCTAATGACAAGGCAGTGAAAGCGTTACTTTGGGAGGCCGCAGTCAGACAAGACTGAGAGAACTTTTTGCAATGTTATAATACCTTTCTAATTGCAGTTGTTGTAAAAATGACTTCCAGTTAAGGTAATTTCAGTGAGATGGTTGCGTTACGGCGGGTACAATTAGCATTAATTTGAATCCTGGTTGCTAACTGCATTAGAAGAGCCGTGTACTTAAATGGCCTTTAGTCTACCACAAAGGTAAAAACAGCGTGGAGAGTGCATTTGGCTATTATCGTTGGTGTAAGACTCTATGTCTCTGGACAGATGACTCCTTTATACCTGTCACCATATTTTCAGAAGGGTTTAGGAGCGCAGGGGTGTCATTACCCTTAATTAGCAGTAGCGGAGAGCACACTGCTGTGCCCTGGGGTGTCACAAGCCTTAATTAGCAGAGCGGTGAGCCAGTGGCTGGCAACCCTGCAAAGCGAGGAGTCGGATCCACTTGTTGCTCTTGGCATGGAAATGCCAAAGCGCTCCCAGTGCCCGTATTAGACCCCCGCAGTTGATGGGGTGCATACAGCTCTAATTGATTTAGGAGCCTAGGACCACTTTTCCAGGCTTATTTTAGCACATAGGCATTTAAAAGATCTGATTCGTGGTACTAGAGGGATTGAAAAGGTCGCTGACCTCCCGCTGCCGGAGACCTCTACCCTTGTCTGCGAAGCAGCCGAGCAGAGGGTGCTCTGGCATTTCCACCCCTGTGATTCTCAGCCGGTCAGATTCGTACGAACTGGCATGGTTTTCAGTTTTCCATAGTTTTCAGTTATTGATATATATCAGGCTGTAAACTGCCGCTGCTGTGGACTTTGAGTTATTATGCCTAATAGATTTAGCTCAAGGTAACCAGATATACTTTTCTGACAAAAAAGCTCCACCAGCTTTATGATGGTATATGTGCCCAGCTATCTGTTTATGTGAATGCACCAGCACAGGGCAGGTTTGCAGGATCTGCTTTTTATTAGGCCAGCTGGGATTTTGCCTGGAGGAAAGAAAACCAGCTTCCAGTATTTACAAACGTACTGCAGAGGTGCAGCACAAGTCTGTGCGCATCTGAGAAGGAATTCATACTGGCCTAACGTTAAAGTGGTACCAACAAATACTATCTGATCTGGCATAAAATTGTCTAGTATCAAGTGATTGCATCAAAAAGATTTGAGCACAGCTGAACGGGCAGAGTGAGGTTATACAGGCTCAGCACCTTGTGCCACGTGGTCACAATTGCCTTCGTTCTGATCTTGCTAGCACTAATGATAGAGACATCGTACCAGCAAAGCCCAGCCTAGACGTCGCAGCTTAGATGGGGTGAACAAAAACCGAGCGACCGCCTGACCCAGACTTCAGGAAAACAGAGTCTAACGCAAATTTGTTTCCCGTGTACCTGTTGTGTCTCTATTTTTCTAGTCAACCATTCATCACCGTCATCATGGCTTTGATGCAGACCGGGATGCCAAGAAACTGCATAAAGCCTGCAAAGGAGCAGGTAAGAAAGCTCTTGTTTTCTATACAATGGACTATTCAATGTTATAGAGAGCATATGCACAAACTTATGGCAAAGCAACTATTTAAACCATTTTGAGTTAATCTTTATGCTTTCTGCCGCTCACTGACTCGAAGAATGTGCACACACAGGGACAACCGCAGAGATTTATATGATTAAGATAAATGGGAAAGGAAGCCAGCTTCTTCCTCAAAGATCTGAAACATCTACTTTGCTAACTGCTTGGCAGCAAGAGATCAGGATGAACATGGCATTTGCTCACTGATATAGGACCATCAAGCTGTCCCCACTGCTAATGACAGTTGTGGGGTCCAGCTAGCCAGGCTAGATTAAAGTCATGGTTATATGTCCTTTTCCAGGTCTTCAAGGAACAGTCAAAAACATCACCACCTCCATATGCTCCTCAGAGCCCACTGCAGCACCTTCAGCTGAAAGGTTTATAGGGTGCTCCTCAGTCTCGCTCAGGAATTATTAGCCAAAATGTTGGCTCACACCATGTTCTGTGGGAGTTTAAACTAAGCTGACTGACTTTGCACTAATGTGCGTAAGGAATACAGTGCTCCTCAGAGCCATGGAGGTGGCAACGTCCAGCAGAGGAGGAACAGCCAGTCAGCACAAGAGAGCAACAAGTTATTAACCTACTCTAGGCATTTGCAATTAAATACATATTTTAGCATTTTTTCCTGTCTACAGTTGGATCATGCCTTCTGTCTCAGTTCTAAGCAGGAAAAACTGGACAGGATGCCATAAACTTGTCCTGTGCAGATATGATATGCAGTGATGAAAATGAATGAGCTGCTGCCGAACACAACTGCCATTTGCAGTTTTAACACGTCTTTTCGCAGCTCCCTGGAAACCCTCGCAGTGCTAGGTGCTGTGCGGGCAGGGGACCAGAAAGAGGGTCCCTGCTCGTAAGAGCCTGCCAGCAAGGCATGACATGCCATGAAGCACGCTGGTGGATGCCACCAACAGTACAGCGCGAGAGAAGCGATGTCCGTGTCAGCCCACAGGAAGTGCGTGCTTCAGCAGACCTGGCATATGGCTGGATGCATTTGATCTAACATCTAAACCCTTTATATCCTATAGACATTTTGGCGGTGCCTATTGCATACAGGATCATAGGTCCCGATAGACGTTCTTCATTTCACTCCCTATGTTGAAGAAACGAAGTATCAGGCCAGCTGCTGGCCCAGCACTTGGAAGTACTCTGGGACATGCACGTTAATGCAATACCTCCTCTGTTGCACCACGCAGGCACCCAGCTAGGATCTCTGTGGTCTTTCCCCATAGCCGCAAACACTGGCTAACGCCTTTCAGCAGCTTTGTTTAGTGCAAACGTCTGTTTCCATGGCTGAGGGCAGGGAAAGCACAACAACAAGGTCATTGCCTTTAGTAAGCGGCTGCCATACCCTGCAGCAGCTGCAACTCAGAGCTGCCATTTCCTCTCCGCGCCCAGGAACCCCTCCCAGAGGGCTGTCACGTGTTCGATTCCTGCACGGCCTCCCCTCTCACCTCCCTGGGAGCTGAAGCTCGCTGTTGGGCCCCATGCCAGGGCTCCCCAGCAGCTGTACAGCCAGGCGCTGCGCTCCCAGCTAACTCCTGGTTATTTTTGCCAAGTGAAGCAGCATCAACAGAGGGATTCAGGAAGTGGAGGCTGGTTCTTGCTCCTCTCCCTGTCTCCATTCAGCGCAAATCATTCACTTCCTCCAGGCTCAAGATGGGTGCATCCCTCTGAGGAAGAAATCCAGCAAAGCGGGCAGGAGACCTGCCTGGATGAGCAAGGAACTCCCGGCAAAACTCCAACAGAAGAAGGAAGTCTACCGAATGTGGAGAAGGGGACAGGCCACTTGGGAGGAATATAGGGACATTGTCAGAGTGTGCAGGGATGCGACAAGGAAGGCTAAGGCCCAGTTGGAATTAAATCTGGCAAGGGATGTCAAGGACAACAAGAAGGGCTTCTTCCAATACATCAGTAGCAAAAGGAAGACTAGGGAAAATGTGGGCCCGCTGCTGAATGGGGGCGGGGGGTGCCCTGGTGACAAAGGATACAGAGAAGGCAGAGTTGCTGAACGCCTTCTTTGCTTCAGTGTTTACTGCTAAGGCCAGCCCTGAGGAATTTCTGACCCTGGGGACAAGACAGAAAGTCTGGAGTAAGGAAGACTCTCCCTTGGTCGAGGAGGATCAGGTTAGAGATCTTTTGTCCAAACTTGACATCCATGAATCCGTAGGCCCTGATGGGATGCATCCACGAGTGCTGAGGGAGCTGGCGGATGTTATCGCTAGGCCACTCTCCATCATCTT